CCCCACACACACAAAAAAAATGTTGTCAATGATGTAGAGGATGTAAGGACATATAATGTAAAGAAAGGTGGATTATGCTTACTAGGGGACAGGATATTTTGCTGTTTATTTTTTTTCTTTTCCTATCAAACACTTTAAAGTTGTGGTACCTGGTGAGCCCACCACACCATCAGATAGGAGAACCCTGCAATCCAGCAGATGGCCCCCAAGAATGTAACAGGGAAGAACTTCTTTGACGACTGCAAAAGAAAAAAGAAGAGGTAAATACATAATCTCTTGACTGCAGAACAATTTCTTGAGGCTTAAAAGTTGGAAAAGTCAGCCTAAAGCACCGTTTTCCTGACGTCAGGGAGAGTTAGCCACAGGGGGAGGACAATCGGCATGATGAGGAGGTAGGTGAAGCGTTTGCGGCTGGATTCGGGCCAGGACAGGCTCAGAGGCTGGTCCTCCTCTTCTTCATCTTCAGCCTAAGACCAGATGCCACAAGATAGAGAGAGAGAAAAAAAAGAGCAAAATGAAACAGCTGTTGTGAAATACAAATAAAAACATCCATTACACACGTTAAAACATGTTTTATTTTTTGTTTGTTTTCAGCGTCAGGCTGTTAGATATTGCTGCCACGCTGGTGCCCACATAATTCAGTCCACCATTTGGAAATAATTAGCAGTTAAACATGAAGCAAATAACCTAATGGGCTGAGTCATGCTTTTTGCATGTGCATTAAAGGATGATGGAAAAATTCACTACAGTCCTTCAGCTTGATAAATGGTCTCATCAGGATGCACCTTTCCATAGCAACCATCATAATGAGGAAGACAGCAACACGACAAGCCATGGAGGTCTGCAGGAACTGACAGCACGACTTGCAAATCCAAGTTCCTTTGCCTACTGTAAAGGGGTAGTTGAGGATTCTTTAAGGAAGGTAGATAATTCTATTGGCATAAAAAAAAACAATCAAATTAAGCTGATCAGGGAAGCTAAAGCTAATCACTTAATCGGAAATGGACCCAGACCGGTTTATGCAAATCCTGGAGCTTTTGACTTGTCACAACGGTGGCACTGATTAATTACAAATAATCCACAGATTATTTACACGTGAAATTGAGGCGGTCCCTGGCCAGAAATCCTGCTGTGTGAAACAAATGCTGAGAATAGGACATAGTGGATTTAAGGCACAGAGACGAAGAGTAGACGTCACATTGACTTTATTACCATTTTAAAGCAGGACATTAACATATCAGCCATATCGGTGGGGGTTATTCTAGTTCTACTGTAAATTCTGAAACAGAACTCTTCGATACAAAAATAACATTAAACTTTATATTTGACTTGTCTTAATAAACCCTTTTAGTAAGCCATGATTTCTCTTTTGAGGTGACTATAAGTTATATATTGAGACAAAGATTACAATAGCTGCATATTAACACAGGAAGTGTAACTAATGCGAAACACAAATTGGTTAAAATGAACCAAACCTAAGGAAATATACATAGCTGCTTCTTTTAATGTAGCGTCTTAAAAAGTAACCCATTATTTTTATCATGAATAGAGGTAATAAATAATATTTACACGCAATGAATTAACTGTTGGTGATTAAATGGCATTAAAAATAAATACATGCATGTTATAGCTATAGTGAACATTTCTGTAAAGGTCTAAAAAATAACTTGTGAAGAAAACATTTTGTTTTTAGGATCAGATCCTTATATAAACAATCTCCAGAGCTTTAGTTTTACAAGTGGATTTCTCAGTCTGCATTCTCAAAATTTCCAATTTTCAAAATTGCTTTCATTTCATAGAAATAGAAAACTGATATATTGCACAGGCCTAACTTGCAGCAGCGTTGTTATATGATCCAGATTAATGTGGCATCTGCTCCTATGTCCATATGTTTCCAGTCAAAGTAACTGCATAATATAAAAGTGAGAAAGTGTCAAAATGACTAATGTATATAATAATACATATTAAAAACATATTTTGCATTTAAGTGTTATCTTCCCATATCAGCTACTCTAACAATGTAAGTTTCACATCTTTCAAAGTGTTAAACAGTTTCGCACAAACTCTATTTTCTGTATTCAAATGTTTATATTATGTAAAAAAAAAATGGTTTGAAAATATCTTAAATACTTTAGAAATATACATCTTTCAATATTTTCTATATTTGAGTTGTTTTAAGATGGCGCTGGCTTGCTCTTGGCCATGCTGTTAGGGACCTCCAACCAAATAATCTGGATCGTCCCAAATAAATAAGTTAGTAGAGTTAACCTTTCTGGTACAGGTATAATTGCTCTCTAGAACCTTTCCTACACAATCCTGAACTATCTCTTTATAATGCACAAGTCTGATTTGGGTGATTGCACTGAGCTCAACAGGTTCCCTTTGAACAGTGGGGCTCATCAGCGTTGATTGCTGATGTCAGCCTTGCAGCCTCGACCCCTGTGGGCCTGACCGGCATGGCTACCAGAATGCCAAGTAAGCCACAGAGAGCCAGTGATTACCATGAAACATCCCTGAAGCTAAATCATATTTTCTATTAACTCCCAGGCTTGCCTTGCTTCAGAACTAAAGTGGTGCAACAGCAGACACTTCTGGCAGCGGATATTTGTCTCTTTCCCTTTGAATCCAATTAAGAGGGATGATAATAGGCCATAGGGACAAGCAGAGAGCAGGTTTGCACATGTATATGTGGATGACCTAGAGGTTGTCTTATGCCCTTGTGTAAATGACATTAATAATTAATAAGACATGAAAGAAGAAAAAAAACACACACAGAGGACAAACAGTGGAAAGAGGGACGTACAATAAAAACAGCTTCTGATAGCAGGTATTGGAATGTACGTTCTAACTATTTTAAATAAAGCTTTAACATTCTTAATTAGATCTGCATTGCATATCTACAGTCACACAGAAATCTTTTTAAAATTGCTTTAGCATGAATCATGAGTTGCTCGTCCTGCTGTGACAGCTACAGCTGCTAAGCATCACTCTGTAACCTTGGTAATCAGAGCTGCCTAACAAAAGGCTGCGCTCACATCTCCTCTGCTCTGCATCCTCATTTCTACCTGCACTCCATATCCAGATGGCTGCATTGTTGCCTGATTTCAATTAAATAAGACTTTAATAAATACCCGAAGGCGATTTCATATTGTTGCATTAAATATAATTTAGGAAGAGAAGATGAATACAGCAATATGCAGGGGCTGAAACATCCTGGAATTTGGAAAGGTGAATTGTGAATCATAAAAAAAAAAAACATTTAGAGGTCTTTAGAATAAAATGAAGAGATAGGTATTTTTGTTTTGTTTTTTTAAGAGAGGAATTGCAATAACAATTTCTTTCTAATTTTTTACACTTCTTCCTTATACTGCCCTATTGGAGAGTAGAATCTCCATCATATATAGGGCCATAAGTAATTTGATATCATAGGATAGGATTAAAAACATCAGAAATTAGAAAACCATCAGTTGTAGGAACGATATAGAGAACCTTCTGATCAAATCTTTAGAATTAAAAAAGACAAGAGTGAGTGAACAGAAATCTGCTTCTCCTAATTATGTGTTTGTGTGGAGGAGTGTGTGGGCATGTATTTATCACATGGTGGGGACCATTTTCCATAAATCTTAGCACATTGTGGGACCATGTGCTCTTGTGGGGACCAATGTCTGGTCCCCTTGGGTCCAAATGCTGTTTTAGGCTTACGTGTTAGATGTGTATTGAGTTTAGGTCAGGATTAGGGTTAGGTATGAACCCGTAATGGTTAAGGTAAGGGTCATTGTTAGGCTGTAGAAATTGGTTAGAAATAAATGGAGGTCAATGAAAGTCCCCACAAGGATAGATAAATATGATTGTATGTGTTTGGGTTCGGGGGTGAGTGTATGTGAGTGTATTTTATATCAAAATTGTCAATGTTGATTTTGGAGGGTTTATTTTTTTGGTTTTGTTAGTAAAATAAAAAAAACAAAAACATTTTGATATGATGCAACAGCAATCGAGGTATTTTTTGTGGTTGCTCACTACAGAATATGACTGATATTTTAGAATCTTCTCTTTGATATTTGTTCTGATATGCAAGTCAGCTTTTACATGAAATCAAGTTAATGTTATAAACCAGAACCCTGACTATGTATAATTTGGTTAACACGCCTTGTGAGTTGAAGAATCCCATGTTGCTGGTGCCCCTGACTCTGGCTTGGTTCTGAAATGCCAGCCCCTCGGGGGACTTTCCTGCCTTGCAGTGCCTCAGTTGGTAACACTGCCAACTCTGTGCTTAAAGGGACTGACTTTTATCAGACACCACAGAGCTGCAAGGGGCGGCCTGACATTTGGCTAAGGTTTTTTTTTTTTTTCTCTCTTATTTCTTCTGGAGGTAAGCGTTTGCTCTCAGCACCTGGTGTTGGACCAAAGTTCCACTGGTTAAAATCCTTCAGAGAGAGTAAATATTTAAGCACAGCAGCAGTGATGCAGCAAACGTGATTTTTTTTTTTTGTTAATCCACCTTGTAACTATCAAGAAAAGGGCAAAATATAGTACTGGTTCTGAAAGGTTCAGGACTGCCGCTTGCACATGCTATATAATACATTGCTAGAAACATGTCAGTTTGTCTACAAACAGACTTACTTTAACATGTTAAGGCATTTCTTTACAGCCTTACTTAATCCATACATTTTTTTACTTTATATTTTTCATTTGCATATCAAATTCTCAGGATTTTTTTTAAAGGAAAAGTAAATCTAGCAGTAAATCAATTTATGTGATGAGTCACGGGTTGTTCAGATTTCAAATTTGCCGTATTTTGGAAGGGATTTATGGTCTCTTAAGAAGGTCACCTTTTGTTAAAAACTGTGACAAATCCTAAATAAATATTGAGAGATTTTACTTTTAATCAAACACCAGCAAGGATATGTAGGGTTTTCTATTGTTAAATCAATATATCTTCTTATATCATGGGGAAAATGTCAGAATGTTGTAGAGCCTGTCAGAGTTTTATAAAGAGGTATACAAGAAGTCTACATCAGGATTTAATTTGACCTTAACGATCTCCTTATACCTTGTTACCAAGGCTTCGGGGGAGAGATGAAAAAAGCAGTAGGACTGGGCCTCTGGTGGTACACGATGGCGTGAGCCGTTTCCAGTAACTTCCTGGGTGACACAGACGGGCGCACTGTGGGACAGAGTTCTAAAAATAGCAGCATCTAGGAATCAGGCGTGCCAATAAGCAGCCAGGTTTATCAAAGTTAGTGAGTCACCATCTCAGAAATGCTCTTGTACGCACACAAAGATGGAGTCTTAATCGCTCACCGGTCAAAGAGGAATCATTTTTAGAATCACTTTAGAGGCTTTTATATGGGTCGCATTGTTTTCTCCTTCACAATAGTAGATATTTTTACAGCTTGAGGGCTGTTTTCTATCATTACTATTTTTAACCTAAAGCTTCACTAGATGTGAATGTGACTTACAGTGTAGT